AAAAGCTATTTTTAATTTATCGCTAATAGAAAGGCTTTCATTTCACTCATCCATGCTCTTAGAAGACGTTACACTTTCTTTAAGTATCCAATTTTCAGCATAGCGTGAATTTTTTTAACCATTTCTTATGTTGTAAGAACATTAAAGACTTTAACTAAATCAAATGACTACACATAAATTTATAGATCTATCAGCTCACAAATGTAATTATATCTATTTAAAAGTTTATTGTATACTGTTGCATTTAGTATTCTGATCTGACCGATCTAAATAATTCGATACTGGCATGCTACAATATATTTTATTATATAGGTGATGATAATTTTTATAAAAATTTTTGAAAAATGTATCCCAGCTTTCTCCATACAATTATTCTATTATCGATCTGAAAAATACTTATTTTTCAGAAAAAAAATACATAAATTCTTGGTCATTTCCATAGAATCTTAATTAATTCTGGATAAAAATCAAATCCCGGCTTCTAATTATAATAAAGTACAAAAGATTAGATGCGAATCTTACTCTGGTTTAATTTCTACCCAAAATTTACCGGGATTGTTCTGAAAAATGAGCATTTCCAGAATGATAATGGAAGGATAATCTGGAAAAAACCCAGGATATGTTTTTCGAAATTTTTTTATAGGAGTAATATATATTTCATATTCAAGATGTATAGTCAACATAGTATATGTAGTAATTGATTCAAATTTATTAATTACATAATTTCATTAATATTAACGATACTTAGAAATAGATTGCAGATAATTAAATAATATTTTTATAAATACTAAATAGTTTGTTACTACATACAAACTATTTATAATAATAAAATAATTTATTCAAAATATTTATAATAATAATGGGATTATATAGAGGTAGTTTTATATAGATGGTAAATAAAAAATTGTGATAGTGATTATAATATAAATGTGCTTATATAGAGGTAAAATTTATAGTAAAAAAGTTAGTAAATTTACAAAAGTGATTATATTGAATTTGTGACTATATAGAGGGTGACTATATAGAGGTTAAACTGTTATATGCAAAATTTAGCAAGGATTTTTTTTGTTAGAGCATAAAAGGCAGTTTCTTAAAAATGAATATTTGTTTTGAATTTTTTTGATCATGTTATATTAGGGGGTGCATTCTACTATGTAAATCAAAACTATGTATAGATATATATCAAATTTTATATGTGAAGTTTTTTAAAAAATTAGTAATCAGAATAGTGATTAGATTATTTATCACTTTTATATATATATATTTGAGTGACGAAAAGAGAAAACCTGTAAATCATTTCACTCAATGAGTGAAGTGATTTACAGGTTTTCCCTTTTTGTCACACATGTTTTTAGATGTCTAGAGTAAATCACTTTACTTTTTTTAATTATTTTAATATAAATCTATTCTTAAACAAGTTTATAACAAAGTTACGTTGAAAAATTTTTTAATATTAATATTAAATTTCAAGTTGACTCTTTACAAAAACTCTGCTTCATATTATAAATTATTCAAAGAGAGATATTTTCGTTATAAGTAAAATGTTAATACTAGAACATAAAAATTTATAATATAACTTTGTTTTAAACATGTTTAAGAATAGGTTTATGCTAAAATAATTGAAAAAAGTAAAGCGATTCGAGCTAAACATCTAAAACAAGTTTTCATTCTTTACTATTAAAATACATATATAAAGTCCTTAATCACTAAATTTAAAAAAAAATTCACATATAAAAATTTGATATACATCTATACATAGTTTTGATTTATATAGTTGAACGTACCCCCAATGTTACATTACGCAAAATTGTGACTTATTATTGGCTAATCATGTCGGAAGATCATGTAAATGCACTCAAGTTATGTTGAGATTTTTGATTATTAATCGTAATAAGTGTCAGTTTATAGATCGTATATTGCATTAATGAGGTCCAAGTATATTAATATAAATACTGCTTTTACTATACTTTACATGTTTTATCTATTCTTTACATATATGAGATTATATAATTCTTTTATATTTATGATTGGCCAAAAGCAACAATCAAAAATTTAGACAAATTACTCAAATTTTTACTAATGAAATCATGACCGTCCATTAAACCAAATATATTTCTGGCTAATTTTATCATTGCACAGGCCAAAATCTTAAAATTTTCAATTATTTTTGCAATTAAAAAAAATTAAAAAATCAAATTTCGGCCAAAATTATATATAATGTGGGCCAGAATTTTGTCGATCACAGCTATTAGCCAATCAAATTCGAGAATCAACTGTTTAATTCTGCGCGGATTTTTGGAGAAACTGCAATTTGACCATCTCTATATACAACACATGTTTTACAGATAATTTTAACATTGTAAGGTCTGCATCGGTCCAAGCATTTGCATGGCCTGTATCACTAATTAGTTCTCAATAATAAATTAATAAAGAGTAATTGTGTCTTTATATGCCCATAACTTCTAATTAATAAATTTAAAATGACTACTTGTATTTTCATATAAATTTAGCCATTTGTATTTTTCATAATCGCATATCACTATAAACCATTATTATAATGAATTATTGTTAGTCTTTATACTTAAATAGAGGATGACAAAAGGCATTTACTTATTATAGCTTCTAGTTATACCAAATTCTAGTCTGTGTGTAACAGTATTTAAAACAAGCGATTCAAATTTATGAACTTTTAAATTTAATTTCATTTTACTCACATATAAATTAGAGAAATTTATTAATTATAAATGTTCAAAGTAATTGATTCAAGTTTATGAATCTTTACTGCATATTAAATTTCATTTTATTTACATTAATTTAGTAGATGAGTATAAAAGCATCTATGAAAGTTTATTTTTTAATATATAGATTTTTTTTGAGTTCGAACTTTCAAATATGTAAACTTGCAAACCAAATTGAACCAATCTTGAAGTTTAATATTCAGGTTGAGTCAAGTTCAACTATAAAAATAGTTAGATTTGAGTTTGGCCTGAATTCGAAACCCAAATCCGAATCTGTCTAAAAATTCGATGCTAAGGCATGCCAGAGCCCTTGAAACAGGAAACATTCCTAATTTATTTTTTATAAAATTAAAATTTTGCTACTTAATAGATATAAAATATTAACAATATTTTACTACAATTTTGCTAAAGACTTATCTTAAAAATTTTTTTGCTTATTCGATTTATTTTTGTATTTATTTTATTTCATTTCAATAAAAAAAGATGAAAGTAACTTCATATTAATCTTAGCAAATAATTCTAACAATTTTGTTTTATGTACCTTTTGGTATCTAATCAGAAAAATTAATTTATAGCTATTTTAGTCTTTCATAAATATATATATATAGTTTCAAAAATTAAACAAATGTCATAATTCAATATATGGTATCAATAATTAAAAATACTAAAAACAATAAAAGAATAATTAGTTTTAATTTATTATAATGACAAAAAAAAAATAAATATATACAGTACCACTATGATTAATTCTGCAATCATAGGATTAATGTTTGATAGAGTTCAAAATTTCGTCTTCTAATATCTTATCCTTTAATATTTTTAAGTTTTAATAAACTGATTCAATATCAGGATGCATATTCAGATTATCATCTCAACATCTACAATAAAGATCTACATAAGTTTGAGAATTATCTTTTCATTTTTTGCCTTGAATAATAAGATTATGTAAAGCAACACATTCTATAAGACCAGAGTTTAATTGATTTTTGAAAGGTCTATGCCCGCTAGTTAGTTCCCAAAATAACACACCCAGACTATAGATATCTGCTTTTTTGCAATTGAAAAGATAATTGTTTTTGAATTCATTAAGTAATTTGGGTGCTAAAAAAGAAATCACACCAACTAGATCATTATGAAATTTTGTTGGCGTATTAAGATTTTTAGCATTTCCAAAATCGATGATTTTTGAATCACCATTTTTAATCACAATGTTTCTATCATGCTAAAATAAAATTTTAGTAAACATAAATAAGTTGATTTAAATATTAATAAGATCATTATCTAAAAGACATCTTACTAGGTCGCAGTGAATAATTCTTTTAAAGTGCAAATAACGCAACCCATTTGTAATTTGAAAAGCTAAAATCAATCTTTTATTCCATGCCAAAAACGGATGATGTTTTCGAAGATAATTTGTAAGTCTCCACCATCTGCATATTCTGTAAGATAATGCTTGTTATTCATGTCATCTACATCAAAATTATAGAAACATTTTAAGAGAATTAAACTAATATAGTGATTTAAACACAATGAAAAAAAAATAGAAATACCTCCACAGACTCCTAGAAACTGAATAATATTTTCACGTGAATCTAGCATACTAAGTATTGTTATTTCGTCGCTATTTATACCATTCAATCAATGTCTTGCATGTAACATATTCATTTGTTCTTTTGCAATAAGCACTGCTTACTGAGCCTAAATAAACATTGATTTTTCTTTTAGAACACATATACTCAAACAAAAAAAAAGCTAGCTCACGAGCTGAATAGCTTTCAATCCTTATATTATGAATATTATTAAAGTGACATATAACGCCAACTTTCAAGCAACATTTTCTTTAAATTTCAGATCAGGACTAAAAACAACACATAGTAAATGCCGGATATTCAATGAGTGTCGTTCTTGATTTACATTATATAATAATTTTATTGGCCAAATTAATGCATATGATATAAATATTTGTCTATTGTTTAAAGATGATCTAATATTAAATCATTCTACTAATAATTTTTATATATCAAAAAAGATACTTTAAACAATAAGCAATGGGCAGTAAATGACTGGTATTTACTATGTGTTGTTTAGCCCTGTTTCAGAATCATTTGTAAAGTAGTTTTCGTCGACTAACTAAAATATTATATAATTAATTAACACTATTGGCCAATTAAAAATTTAATAAATGAGTTTCTAAATTGATATTGACCAATCAGTTAATTGATTAATATATTTTTGTTAGTCGACTAATTGATTCCAATTATATTACCCTTCCATATATGCTTGTAGTTCCGAATTAACGTTAACATACATACAGTAGCCACCTTCATCAATTTTTGACATATTGACCAGATCAATTAACTCAATTTTTTTCAAGGCAAATTTTGCTGGACCGCTTCTAACTAATCTTGGGTTTCGTTGTCAACGAGATGTCTAGGGCCTTCCTTCCATCCATACATTAGAATAAATTACGCTGAACGTGCCTCTTGCATTATATTTAAAAAAATCAAAGTTCTCGAAAGGGATCTATTCCAGATAGTCCACACATTCGAAAGCAGTAGTTTGTCTTTTTGATAATTAAATCATTATTGACATTGCCTCTTGTCCATTTGGAAAAATTACGCTGGAGGAATTCGATTTTACATTTGCAGCACCAATTAGAACCATTGTTGGTATCTTCACACTTAAAGCATTTACCATATTGGCAAACGTTTGGATCCATTTCTCAATATCATTTTTTAGCAAAGCTTAAATCTCGAAAATATATACTGGTGGCGTTGGTGGCGTACAATTGATCACCATGTCATTTTTGCTATTGGAAAATGTATATCAGGTTGGTGCGCAGACAAAATTCTTAAAATTTGTTAAGGTTAGGGTTAGGGTCAAGATTAAGAGCTAGAGGGAAGTAGCATTAATAGTAAAATTGTCCAACGAAAACTTTTTGTTAGAGCACAAAAGGTGGTTTCTTATGTTGATTTTTGAGTTATAGTCGATTTTTGGCAGAACGAACATTTGTTTTGAATCTTCTTGATTGTGTTACGTTATATCTAATCTTGAAAGCTGATTCGTAGATCAGAAGAACTACGTTACCAACCTGGTACACATTTTCCGATTGCATAATTTTTAACCGAAGCTTAAATCTCAAAACCAATATACGAATTTTTAATACTTTTTGTTTACATTGTGGCACACAAACAAACATTAAGCTTATTGTTATGGAAACACGTTTTAATGATCATTCTTGCATAAATTATTTTTCTAATAAACAAATTTGATTGATGACTTCCAGAACTTGACACAATTCCAATAGGCAAATTCATATGCAGATTTCCAACAAAACTTAACACTACTAAAATATTACAATTAAAGTATCTAATCAAGAAACTAAGCAAAATACAATAAATAAAGGTTATTATTATAATAAAAAATTACGAATGAACTGATACAATAAATATCGATGTAAAATACCAGTACAATCACATGAATGTGTAACATGAAATATTGGAGTTACGTCTCAACTAAGTAAATCAAAACTATATATGGTATCATATAAAAATTTGTTATAAATTTTTTTCATGTTACAATGTAATGCATGTTAATTATATAAATTATGGTTTATAGCGATTATAAAGATTTTTCGATATTTAATATATTATTACTATACAATTTTTATTACAGCAATATTTATTACAATATTTAATATAAATTGTATATATTAAAAGCTAATTAATTAATAAAGTATTTGCTTAAAAAGATTTGACGCTGTCAAGCCCAAATAGTTGTGGTTAAGCATCTTGTAATAGATACTGTTTTGCTTGATTTCTTAGTTTTTGTATTTCATTCAATTCATCGGTTAAATTTTCTTTTGAAATCTTGTTAGATGACAAGCGAAGCTTTGATTGTTTCATTAATTCTGACATGTTTGCATGCGTTTTTAATTCCAATTTGTTGAAGAGACCTTCAACTTGCTGATTTATAATTATAAAATAAATATGATTTTTAACAAAGTCATAAAGTTTAGGAAACTCATATATTTTTGGATTTTTGCAAATGCAAAATTGTTCGAATTCTTTAAGAAAGTTGTAATCAGACAAAAGCATTGCATGTAATCCAAAGTCATTTTCTACACCATTATTTTTATCATCTTCCAAGAATTGAGCATAATATAATTCTAAGTCAGAAGGTGGATAAATCCAAGAATTTTGAAGAATCACATAATAGTAACTAGCTGCAAATGATTGTGCATTGCTTCCACCAAGTTGACATATTGCTAGTGGTAAATGAAGCTACTGTGAAAATCATTTTTTGAAATATTTTAAAGCTGCTATAATTCCAAGCTCCAAACTATTAAAAAGATTGTCAAATTCTTTATTTGACAATAAATCTACAGCCTCCAATAGTTGGTCAGAAAAAAACATGTCAAAGTTATTCTTGAGATTTCTAAGAAAATCAAGCCATTCAGAGACTTTATCCAGCATCTCGTGGGCTCGACGACCGGAAGGTAAAGTAACCAATTGATTATTTTGATAAACTCGTGGAATAGGATTGTGACCTATCATAAACTGTGTAAGAGGCTCATAAAAATGTTCAGCAAAATTCACTAAACATTTGATTTGAATGTTTAATTTTGAATCGTCAAGCCAAGACTTGAAAAGATACTATTCATTAAGATAAGACTTTGGAACATTTTTGTAGTTTTCCATATCTCTAATAAACCACTATGTAAATTTAATGTGAGCAGTATGCCAGTTAAGATATTGTTTGACCGTTTGTAGCTCATATCCCCATCTTGAACGAAGTGGTAATTGATATTGTTCATATGACAATCCTAATAATCCAATATAAAGATTCTTAATAATTTGAGAATTAATGTTAAGCGGTTTATCTTTATCGCTTGAATCGTATCCATTATGTAATTTCTATGACAAGTAAAGCAAATTATAGGGATGTGGCTTTTTTGAAAAACCAGTAGTATTAGAAAGCGTCCCAAATGCTTTTTGTTCAAAGTGATTAAAAATAATTTAAAGTATATGAAGTACACATCCAATATGTATTGAAGTTGAACCTGACTTTTTTTGAAAAAGAACAGTCATGCCTTTTTTGTCTCCAGACATATAAGATGTATTGTCAGTTATCCACAATATGCACTTTTTCAAATCTAATCCATCGTGCTTAATACATTTAATGATTGTATCTGAAATAGTATCCGCATTACACCTTAAAATATTTTGAAGATGAGACATAACAATAACTGGAGCTTGATGATTTTGATTCCAGAATTGGTAACACATAATAAAATTTTTTGTTTCACTTCTCATTGATTTGTCAACCATAACACCATATGCTGGAGCATTAGCAAGTTGGCTAATTTGTGTGCTTATATGAAGTTTTGAAATATCTTTATGCCAGGTTTGTAATGTTTTCAGTGTTAGCCAATTTTTTGGCAGCTCCCCTGTTAAAAATTCATAAATCAGTCGCATACATTCTGCTGTTGAATTTAATGAAATTTGCCCAACTTGTAAAATACTAGTCGCCAGCCAAACTGTATTAAATGTATATTTGGCTTGTTGTCTTGAAAAATCAATTTAATCTTTTTTTGAAAAACTTGATCAGTAATCTGACAAGATTGACGAGAGAATGAACAAATTGTAGATATATGACTTGATTTTTGATTATGAAGATGTATTATTTGAGCTCCAAATGATTGTGTTTTTCGAATTAATGCTTGATTTTGCTTATGAAGTTTTTTCAAATCACTTTTTAATCTTGCATTAGATTCTTGTAATGACTGATATGTAGGTTGATATTGATAAAATGATTGAGAGATATAGTTATGTGCTTTTTTTTGTAAATATGGTGAATAAATTTTGCCTTTATTAGGCCCAGCTTGATATCGCATTGTTGAAATTAGATGAATAATTGACGAAAATTCTTCTTCAAGTAATTGTTTAATTGTAAAAATTAATTTAGAATGTTTAGAATTATCTTTGCTTGTTTGATTATGTTGATAATCATTATTATTTGCAATTAAATTTTGTTCATAGTGTTGATTATCTTCGTTTGTAGTTGGAATACTCTGCATATGATTTAGAACATATTGAAGTTGATCAGAATTCATTGTAGACAAACATTGATTTATTTCATTAATTATTTTTTCATGCTGATTATTTTTTTGCTTTTCTAGTCAGATTTTATTACAATTCTTCAGTTGGAACCGACGCTTATATGATTTGTATATACCCATTGTTAAGTATATAACAAAAATAGATGCACAGCTCTAACCATACCGTAATTCAAAGTATATTTTGGAAAATTTAATATTTAGTCTCTACGAGAAAAGTTACGAAATGGTTTTTTATATTTAAAAATAAAAAAAAAAACTTACAATCGGCTTAAATTCAGTATTTTAATATTGATATAAATCAGGATATATTAAAAATAATGGATTTGGAATAAATGTACATAATATTATATAAAAGAAAGCTTCGTAACTTTGTAATGATATTGTGTAAGAAGCGTTTAATTTTTAGGAAACTTTGAAAAAGAAAAAGATTCGATCTGTGCATCTAAAAGAAAATTATGTTAATTTCATATTTATTTCGTAATATATGTATGATTTTCGAAATGATCAAATTTTACTTATTAAAAATATTTTAATAATTAAATGATAAGGTGATCTGATATAGATTTGATTTACTTAATTGAGACGTAACCCCAATGAAATATGTGAAGGATGATTTGGTTCAACTTTTTTGCCTATGCTGATTTTCACAAAATCCTATTTTAAGAAGGATAATGATTTTCATTTACCCATTTTCAGGAGTCAAGATTTTACATACCGTATGATATATGCAAAATCTAAAATCAAAACGTTGCCAAACCTAGGGTCTTTTTCTAGAACCACCACGTATTTTAATTTTCGTTTTTTAGATCTATTGGCAACAGTATTCTCTATAATGGATTTTGGCTCTTCACAAACCGAAATATTAATACAATTAGAATTGTCTTCTTAATATTAAGAGAAAATCAACAGAAAGATTAATATCTTTATTCAATATTAAATCAAATTTTATGATTTTATTAATTTCAAATTAAAATCTATAAAACAGAATTTATCGTTATGAAACTGTTATTTCAAAAATTTATCACTTATCAAACACATTTAAATTTAATTTTGACTGGTGCTGGATGATTGAACGAATTAAAACTCAATGAATGAAATTTATTTCATTGCTCGAATTTTCGATCGATGCTCGAATAATTATTCACCGATTCCCACTCTAATCAAAATTTATGCATCGAGAATAGAAAATGATCAAACTATACGAAGAGTTTAGGTACGCGCATAGAGCATGCATAATAAAATGGTAACGAATAAAAATTATAGGGATTTATTTAAAATGACAACGTACATCTACGTACATTTAGTTGGATTTTGCTATAAAGAAGGCATAGGTATATATAAAGATGAAATGAAAATGTTTGAATGGTATTTGAAATCTGCTGAAAGTAGAAATTCTGAGGATCAATTAAAAGTTGTAAATTGTTATCAAAATGGCATAGAAACTACTAAAGGCAAAAGGATGGCATTTGAGTGGTATATGAAATCTGCTGAAGGAAGCGATTCTATCGGACAATTTGTGTTGGAGCGTGCTATGAAAATGGCATTGGAACTTCTAAAGATGAAAAGAAAGCATTTGAATGGTATTTGAAATCTGCTGAAAGTGGAAATTCAAACGGTGAACGCGGCGATGGAAACTGCTATTATATGGGAATAGGCATTTCTAAAGATGAAAAGCAAACATTTAAGTGGTATATGAAATCTGCTGAAAGTGGAAATTCTGTTGGGCAATTAAAGGTTGGACGTTGTTACCGAAAAGGTATAGGCATTTCTAAAAATGAAAAAAAGACATTTGAATGGTATTTGAAATCCGCTGAAAATGGAAATTCCGTAGGCCAATTTAATGTAGGATCTTGTTACGATAAAGGGATAGGAATTTCCAAAAATAAAGAAGAAGTCATTAAATGGTATTTGAAATCTGCTGAAAGCGGTTATTCTATTGGGCAGTTCTTTGCTGCATTTAATTATCAATACGGCAATGTCGATTTTCCTATTGATAAAAAGAAGGCATTTGAGTGGTATTTCAAATCTGCTGAAGGAGGAAATTCTGAGGGACAATTGTATGTGGGTCTATGCTATTGAAATGGCATTGGAACTCCTCAAAATCAACAAAAAGCTATCGAATGGCTTCAGAAATCAAAGAATAATAAACCTAAACAAAAAACGTATAACTGTGAAAATTCTGATATTAATAATTTTCTTACCATGGATTCCATTTGATGAACTAACAATTGCTCAGGAGATTAGAAAAGGAGACTGAATTGACTTGAAACTTTGATTTGGCTTATTAAGACTCGGATTCTGGAACGATTGTGGAATCAGATATTGCCATTCACCTTAGTGACTTGCGAGAATTGTGGTAAAGAACGAGACTTACGATTGGTTATTCTACCCTGTTAATCACCCACGTGGACTTAAAGTTATCACTGTTACCATTTGATCATTATCCGCTTTTACCTCACCATCCTTATTGAAATATCCCTAACAGCATCACCTGTAGTTGTTTCGCCTCATTATCATCCCTCTTAATATTAAAGCCTTCGTTTCAATGTCATATTGTCTCAATAGATTAAAAAGACACTCTTCGTTTTTTAAGTTTATCTTTATCTCGCCGTACACCGTTGGAGTTAAATTAGCCTTTATCCACATAATCTTATTAAGCTCTCCCATCAACAGTTACAGTATGCGTATTTTCGGGTAATGGGTTTTTTTTTTCTTTTTTCTTTTTTTTATTCTTGCGCTGTGTGGGGGTTGGATTCTTGTGTCGTATGGAGTTGTATTCTTGCGTCGTATGGAGTTGGATTCTTGCGTCATATGGGAGTTAGATTCTTGTGCCGTATGGTTATACATGGGTGTCTAAATTATTTTACTCTTGTCATAAATTTAAATAGCTAAATTATTTTAGGCAGCCTAAATCATAAATAATTTAGGCTGCGAAAATTATTTTAGGCCTCTCAAATATTTTAGGATGTCTAAAATATTTTAGGATGTCTTAAATATTTTTGGATGTCTAAAATATTCTGAATGTCGAAATTAAATATTTAAAATGCGAGAATACCGAAACTAATCTTTTGGTTAAATAATCTTAAGAATTAAATAGGTTGAATATTAGTCGGAAGTATAATCATCATCGAGCTATTCATCTTAGGTCTAGGTCAAAATTCAGGAACTTAATTATCGCGTCAGTTCAAACTCCGCTTATGATTAGTCATCATGATTATGTTTCGGCTATTTCGGCCACTTGACAAATAGTCACAAATTATTGATAACTTTACTTTGGACATTTGCCAAGTGGTCAGATAATAGCTTTATTTCTTAAGGATGCTGAGAACGAATTAAATTCGATCAACTATTTTGAAAAAATCATATAACATTTATTGTTCTAATTTGGGAAGAGATTATTATAAGAGAACTTGTAAGTTGTGAAAATTATTTGGGATTCAAGTTACAGTATATATTAAGCAATAACTTAATTTAAAAGTTGATCAATTAATTTAAGTATCAGGTTTTTATTGGCTTAATTTTAATAGCAAAAGGGTACTTTATTTATAATAGAAAATTATTGATACCGAGATGATACTCTTGAAAACAATCTTTTAACATTAATATAAATAAAAGTTTTTGGTAAAATGTGACAATTAAGTGAATACTAATAAATGAAATAATAAAGTTTGATAGAACTAAAGCCTTTTAAATATAATAAAATCGACAGTCTATAATAATATCAACAGCCAATAATAATATACTGTAGATAGCCACAATAATTTTGGCAGTCGATAATAATTTCGGCAACCAAAAACAATTTAGACACTTAAGGGTAGGGTGGACGTAGATCATTTTTCATATGATCTACGTGGTATACAGTATTAAAATTTTACATAGACAGCAAAAATTCGCCTCTGATAAAATTTTTTAGAAACGTGACTAATCTTCACCAAATTTTTCCAGTATATAATTTGGGGTCTCTTATTTATAACAGCAAAATTATGAACACTATATCTTTTAAAAAAAATCCACTTCGTATATTGATAAAATTCCTTAGGTTGCCCAAATTTCCTTAGGTCGCACAAAAATTACCGATTCTGATTGGTCAAATTTGTTGTTTTTACGATTCTGATTGGTCAATCACATGATTTCATATGAATACCACGTGAATACTATTAAAAATGATCTACGTCCACCCTACCCGAAACTCTGTGTCGAAAATACTAACGCTAAAAAAATTTCGCCATGCCGTCTGCCGTAAATCATCCCTATTTTAGACACCCATGTATACGTATTGTATTGAAAGCATAGATGTGAGACTCCCAAATCGATAGATTTGTGCATGGCTAACTTGAGTTATTTTGCTTCAACAAAAAACCTCATTTCATTATATATAATTGCTACGCTTAAATTCCACGTTCTTGGTTCCAGTGCGTCTGCTTCGCGCAGCTACCCCTAATTTATTATTAATCAACATGGGTACCTTAAGCTTAACTTATTACGGGTAAATGGATCGTGAAATTGCCGGTTTTTAGACTACAATCATATATCAGATTTTCAATTGCCCATATAAATAGTTTGTGTAATAACACGTTCAGAATTTATCAGATACGAGTTTTCTTATGCTGTCCTGTGACTGTTAAATATATACACATATTTAATGATAGCCTACCATACTTACTATAGATGGCGGTAAAATTCAAAAAAGGAAATTTTAACAATGAAAATGATTAGTAATCATTGTTATAATTTCCTTTTTTGAATTCTACCGCCATCTATAATATTTATAAATATTGACGGCAATATGGGTTGATTGCAACAAATACGTTTTCTTGAATTCAGAAAATGTTTGTTTCAAGGTAAAACATAAAAGCTTGAACTTTCTCAACATTAAATTCCTCAAACATCCCTCAAACATTGTAGCCCCTAAATTAGAATCTAACTTTTTAATGTGATTATCTATTAATCCAAAATTTATTATTCAGTCAATGACATTTATTTATTTTTTTCATTATAACTGTATATAGATTTTGAAAAAAGAAGCTGATCAAGATGTTCAAATTAAACTTTTTATCAATCTTTGTTATTCTTTTACTCTGCGCAATCGGTTCATTTACCACAGAAGTTCCCACAAAAATTGGAAATTATGGTAAATCCTATCCAAAAATAATATTGGTTAATCGACTCCTAACAAAATTCTGATTTGACAAAAATTACAGAGTATCCGAAAGGTGTCGATGTTCCAAAAGATATCACTCCTCCAGATGGCAAATGTTTTAAGTTTTCTTTATTCACTAGTGGATATCTTTGGTATAAATGTACCAATTATACATGGGTACCTAGTACGTATATAGATGCATGCTTATACATGCGTATTTTGTCACATTTCGGCTCATAATATTTAAATTATGTATTATATATTATTAAATTATTAGTTGAAGCTCGCCTATTATTTTTTAATCGTCAAAATGATACATCTTCCTATCCATGTTCAGCCGTGGCTTCAACATTCATTGTCCCAGCTCCAGGTATGTAACAATATTGTCTAATTATTGGATCATTTTATTTAGTCCTTGGAATTAGTTAAAATTATTATATTTGGTCAGAATTAAGAATTTCACAATTATAATTTGACCAAATTAATATTACATAACAATGCCTTTCCGAATCATGAATATTCTCTTCAATGAGTGCCTATCCATAATTCTAAATTATTCCAGACATTTTTCTTATCGGTTATAAACAGTATATGTGTATTGATATAACATTAAGCGAAGAATTTTATTGTTCTATTAGGTTCGGGTATGAGATCGATTATTCCAAAAGATAATTCATCATTGGTTGTAGCTACTATTGCTGAACATCCGATACATGATTCGAAAGATCTTAATTGGGCACTCGGAAAAGCTAACGTAATTATTGTAGTTTATTAAGTAACTTTACTAAAAAAAAAATTTAATATTCATGACTAACATTTATACCGTCCAATAAACAGAATAATACAGGAAAAGGAGTGTTTGAAGACATTACCCATCTCGTTCTTGTCAATACTTGTGGCGGAGTTGTTCCATCAATTATGAAATGTAAGTAAAATTAATATTTAGGATAAATGTACTTTACAGAAACTTGAATATCCTAATGCACGGTAACTGCATAATGTCTATATAGTCACTATTAAATTTAATAGTAACTATATAGTTACTACATAGTTACTATGTAGTAACTGCGTATTAAGGCATTAAGGTTTCTGTATAGTATATAATTATTGTCACTTTTTATTAATTTATATTCCCATTATTAGGCGGTTCTGACTGTTCAGAAGGTTATATTTATAGCACAATATTTTCCGCACTAGTCTTATTCTATCATAATAAATAATGTGGTTCAAAATTACGTTAGATTTTTATCTTCTAACATAAATATTAATAGACTAGTGTTGGGTTGTACAAATATGTTATTTTATTTAGATTAACATTTTTAAATTTATTATTTGTACAGTACTTTTTTCTTTAATATTAATATTTTTTATTATTTTCTTTTTATTTTTTCAATACTTTTTTTTATTGAGTTATTCTATGCGGTGTTTCAAGAGTGACTATTTTTTTGTATAGTACAGGTTACCCTGTTAATGTCAACCTCGTTAATATTCACATAAGCCACAAACCAAATTTTTATAAGTTTTTATATATCAAAACTCCCTCATATATATCAACTTTAATATGATTTCTCGTTAATATCACTATCAACATGATTTAAAACCATTCAAATAGGTTGATATTAACGAGGGTAACCTGGACTAATTACTGTATATGGATTATACGGATTATACAAATTGTATCGAAATTACATTTGAAGAAATAAATAAATGGGAGTACATCTGTTTCGTGTAATATCGCGTATATCATTTTTTTTGACCAATAAAGTCAATATCAAATAAAATTCTAAAACACATTGTAAAAAAAAATTTAATGTACGCAATATTACACGAAATGATTTACGATAATTATTTTCTTTGTAAAGTTTATTTGTATTCCGTGTCCAAATGCTAATTTGGTTCGTTTCATCAATATGCAAAGATAACAAAGAATGAAGCTATGGCATTTTGTAACCATACCGGGTGAAGTAGATGGAAGCAATCGACATCATAATCAGAAGTTTAATATTAAGTGTGCAGCTTCGAATGAACTAAAATTAGAACAAGTTAATAAATACGTATAAAAGCGCTTTATATTAAATAAATTTGGTATTCTAAAATTATGCAAACAAAAAAAGGACAAAAATAACAAAAAAGTAAACTAAATAAAATAAAATAATTAAAATTAAAAGTTTAGCAAATACGGTATAGATTTTTAATTTAAGAAATATGTATCGATACGGTAGTTTTAATGATACTAAACATGTAAATCTTATTAAACAAGATTTGTGTGCTCAAATAATATTAATAAATATTATACTGTATTTTCTTAATTTCATTACTTCTTTTCCTTTGAACTTTGCAATTTTATTAATCACTATTTTTGATTGGTTAGTTGTATCATCATTTAAAATTTCATTAATCCAGGCATTTATGAACTCATAAATTTCTTTAGAAGTTGGTCTTTTATCAGGTTGCGCATTCCAACATTTCATAATTAACTTAGCAATTAACTTTGGTACATGCGATGGAATTTTTGGGCGCAAACCATTAAAAATTTTTCTTGCACGATGAATATCTGGAATTTCAGAAAATGGCGAACAACCAGAAGATATTTCATATGCTATCATAGCAAATTAATCTACATCAAATTCTTTAGAATAAGATTTTTGAAATAATACTTCGGGTGCAATATATGAAAGGATGACATAAACATCCTTTATCTTAAATGCATTATTTAATGTAGTTGAAAGTCCTAAATCGCCAATATAAGCACTATAAAATCATTCTGTAGGATGTTTCCACTGTGCAAATCCCGATGAATTATATTATGAGAATGAATTAGTTTGAGATCTTAGGAATATAGGACAGCATAATTATTTTTTCTTTCCATTCTGTCTATACAATTTTGTTAAGATTATAACGCAAAGGTAACATTGGTGCAATCTGCATAACCAATATGTAGTCATTGGTGGTTTCGTCATTTGATATTCCATAGCATTGTAAAAATGTAGGATCTTTAACTACAGTACAATTAATACAATTAGTGACTTATCTAATACATACAATAATCAAATATTGTATTTGTGAGACACATGCCTACTTTAAAAATTCTTCACACTCATTTTGTGACCCAATGGAATCCTCGGTAATGGATATTTATTTTCATGTAAAACAGTTTTTGAAAATTATTAATGTCAGAATTTTCACAGTTATATGTTTTTTGTTTATTATTAGCCATTCGATAGCTTTTTGTTAATTTTGAGGTGTTCCAATGTCATTTCGATAGCATAGACCCACATACAATCGCCCGTTAGAATTTCCACCTTCAGCAGATTTTAAATACCACTCAAATGTCTTCTATTCATCTACAGGAAAATCGATATTGCCGTATTGATTATTAAATGCAGCAAAGAACTGCCCAATAGAATAACACTTTCAGCAGTTTTCAAATACCATTTAATGGCTTCTTCTTTATTTTTGGAAATCCCTATCCGTTATCGTAACAAGATCCGACATTAAAAATTGTCATACGAAATTTCCACTTTCAGCGGATTTCAAATACCATCCAAATGCCTTTTTTCATCTTCAGTAATGCCTATATCTTTTCGATAACAAAGTCCCATATTTGATTGTGTATCTGAATTTCCACTGATTTCGAATACCACTTAAACGCACTTTTTTGCATCTTTAGAAGTGCCGATACTATATTGATAGAAATATCCAACAAAAAATTGCTAACTGGATCTTCACCTTCGAAAGCTTTCAAATCTTTTTTAAATAATTGAATCTGAATTAAAACACTATTCAAATGTAATTTGTTGTAGCGATTAATAATTTAAAGGCATATGATGGGGTGTGAGGTCAACCAATCCTTTACAAACTATATCATAATATAGATTTTTAAGTAATGCAATTGAAAACTTTATTTTGCATATATATGCTGTGCGCCATCTGCGTCATCCCTAACTCTAAATAAACACCGTATTTAACTTTTAATTTTAATCTGATGCTGATGTACGACATATATTAATTCATTGTAACAATGAAATCCCGCATCTTCTCAACGAAAATTCAAATGAATCAATACATTCAGGAGATTTCTTAATAAATAATATATCTAGAAAATAAGTGGGAATTTAAAAAAATCTTCTTGGTATATAAAATTTTGAAATCAGAAAAATGAATGAGTGTGTTTAGAGACACCCATTTAACGAAATAAGTAAACTTTTCAGCGACAATTTTATTTGAAAATGAAATAGAGTTGATCTATTTCTGTCAAAATTAGATTCCTGCACTTTTACTTCTGAGACCCCTTATTATATCAATGTTTAAATAATTAAATCCATATAAATATTTACTAAACTATAAAACAAACTAGATCTTGAGTACAAAAAAGTTTTCATGTCAAATTACAAAACACATTATTTTAACAATCTTTTGTTTGTATGACGCTAATTTGGTTAACATCTGTTTCTGTTATAGCTGTACGCTCAGTAGAACGCTCCAATATACCACACACACGTACAACGTACGTTGGGGCTATCTGTCAGCTAAGTAAATCAAAACTATATATGGTATAATATAAAATTTTTCTATAAAATTTTTTCGTGATAAAGATTTAGATGCAGGGCTCTCACAACAAAAAATTAGAATCCCAAGCTTTGAATGGATCGATAGAAGGTCTT